CACCAGGTGCCAGCATTTTGGGCTGGATGAGACCACCGCAGATAATGTTACCGACGTAGTAAGTGCTGCGAGCCAAGACGACAGTCTGGGTGCGAAGACGGGTAGAGCCAACTTCGGCGACGAGGGTGTAAACGATAGGACCGACGGACATGGAGTAGAAGCCGAGCCACACGACGCAAAGGATGGACTGTCCCCAGATGATGCCATCAGTCTGATTCGGGGCAACAGACAAGAATCCGATGATCCATAAGCAGGCCACAAGAAGAGAGAATCCGACAATCCAGATTGTACGACGACCAAACTTGTAGATGTAAAGCCAAGAGATGCAAGTGCCGAGGAAAGCAATTCCGGTACCTCCCAAGCTGATGGCGTACGAAGCGGAGGGACTGATTCCAGTTTGCTGGAAGAAGAAGGAGCCGGAGTAGCAGAGGGCGCCGCCGTTGGTAATTTGAGACATGAATGCCATGCAAGCGATCTCGGTACGTCGGAGGTTGGTTCCCTTGAAGCAGTCGAACAGAGAAGCGCCGGCTTGCTCATCAATCTCGAGCTTGTTCGTATGGACCATCATGGCCACAGTGGCATCCAGATCAACGTTGTGTTCAGGCTCTGAGAGGCGCGCGAGCGACTTCTTGGCCGCATCGAGGTTGCCTTGACGAACGTGGTGCCAGGGAGACTCAGGGGCGAGCCAAGCGGCAATGATGAGGGGGATGGGCCAGACCCACTGCACGGCAAAGGGGATCTTGTAACTCCACTGACCCTTGACATCGACGAGTCCTTTGAGGATACCGGCAGAGATGAACTGACCGATACACCAACACAGGTTGACGTAGGAAGTCAGGTATCCACGGATAGCAAGGGGCGTGACCTCGGCAGCGTACGCAGGGCCAGTTGTGGCGAAGACACCCCAGGGAATGTTGCAGAGAACTTGACCAGCCAATTGCATCTCGATGTTGTGGGCGAAGAAAACGACAAAGACGAAGGCGGCGAGCCAGACAAGAGAAACGATGAGGACCTTGCGGTGACCGAACTTTGGGGTGAAGTATCCGTTCAGGATGGCACCGACGATGTTTGCGACAGCTCCGATGGCGTTGAACTTCTGTTGCCAGGACGAAGAGATCTGGTAGCCGTTTTCCTCGTCGAGGTATTCACCGTACTTTTCGCGGAACGCGGGATAACCATAAAAGGAGCCGATCAAGGTGACATCGTAACCCTCCATAATGACCGTGGTTGAGATGACTGGCGAAGAGGAGAAGCGTCAGACGATTACTTGTAAGCAGAAGGCCCGTTTTAGGGGGACAACTCACGGATGGACCAGAAGGCGGCGCGCTTGTAGGTCTTGAGACCTTGCCAGACACCGAAGCTGTGTTCAATGTTGGTACCCTCGTGGGCCTCATTGTTGAGTCCCTTGTCGTCGAGGCTCACATCATTGAGGTGCGTGATGTGAGAGGGACCCTTTTCGACATGGATAGGGTCTTGTGGCTGGGAAGCCGTCTTTTGGGTGATGTCGTTGGACATGGCTGCGAACGCTCTGGGGCTGCTTGAAGCTGTTGACGATGGGCAAGCTCCTGGAGCAGAGTCGTATCGAGAAGAGACAGGAGGACCAGGCACGGTGAACTGGGGGTGGGCAGTTGTAGTATTTTAAAGTCGCGTCGAGGCGAGATCAAGGTGGTACCAGACAGTCGGCTTCCTCTCGTCTCATGCCATGGTTGCAGTCTGCAGAATATGCATGGTACTGGGACGAGGATGGGACGGTTGGCCTGAGCCGACCCTGTGGAGAAGCAGTTTGTTTCCCCCAAGCTTGGCCTCTATGGATGGGCCATTCCCCAATCAAACCGTGTTGGAGATCCTTCGTCGTGCCGGCCGGGGTAGGCTATACCGTTCACGCTCAAGCCATGTTCTCCTCATGGTACTGGATGTCTGGGCGGGCATGGGAAATGCTGGCCATGTGCGAGGCAGAACCCACATTCAAGTGGAAAGCCGATCGGGGCCTTGTGGCTAGCGGCGGGATTGACGGTCTTGGAAGATGTTGAGTGGGTGAAGGAAGCCATGGGGAAGAGAGTGCGGAGAGAGACGAGGGAGTTGACAAGCTGTGAATGGTCGAAACATCCAAGACGCCGGCGGGAGTGGCCAAGGGAAGCCAGCCGGGGGCGGGGAGAGGCAGATTACTGATGGGCCGTGGTCGATGTGGTGCCAAAACGAGTCCGGGGTTCTCGTCCTCGAGGAGTCTGGAGACAAGGGGGAGAACTCGTGACTGGTGGTGACTGACAAAAAGTCAGGATGGGGGAGGCAGGATGGCGGCGCAGTAGGGACGACGGACCGTCGAATCTGGGGGGGCTTCTGGTCAGTGGTTAGTCTGGGATCGAGGCATCAAGCAATGAGGAAGCGTAAGAGACAAACTTGACTTCAAGAGGCTAGAAGGGAAATGTCGTCCGAGGCTTGGAGGAGGACAATTGGTGGAACTTTTCCCAAGGACGAAATTGACGGTTGGGGATGGCGGCGGGTGGCCTGGGGGATCGGGAGAGTCAATGTGCCTAGCGCGTCCAAGAACGGATTAGGGTCGTTTGGCGATGACTAGCGCGCCCTTAGCGAGGATAAAGTGGGTCATGACGGACCCGACGAGGAAGGAGATGTGGGGTAAGTCTGGGGATTTAGTGGCGTGATGGGCCGCACTGGATGCCCGGGGCCGCTGAGGAGTCGCTGGAGTCCACTGTAGGGCAGCCGTCTAGGCCTTGATGGCCGGTTCAGTTAGCAGACGGGTGCGCTGAAGCACTTCCCCATCCAGGCCCAGCCCACACCTCTTGTGCTGGGTTTCCCCAAGTTTTGCGCCCTTCATCTGCAATGCCACCACCTCGCTTTCGTTTGTTGGTTCATTGCCGTTGCAGCAGGCGATGTGCAGCTGTTGTGTACCTCCACGTAGGAAGTCAGCTTGGATATGCTGGATTCATGTCCTGTTTGGTGTGGAAGTCGAGAGCAGCAGCAGTCACGAGAAGACTGAAAATTCGAGGTGCAGAGCGAACGGTTAAATGTCTGGGTACGTATCCCCTCTTCTCGTGCCGGGCTTAGGTAATTCCACAGTTGCTCCGGAGCTACCCAGGGCAGTACGTACCCATGGGTCATCCCCGGTTGCACCCGACAACAACCACTGCAACCTCAGGAGAACAATTTACGACCAACAACGACATCCACTCTCCATCGACCTGCGTTAAACAGCCGACTTTGACCACGCCTTCCTCCCGAGGCTATTCGGCTCACTCTGGCCTATCCGTTGCCTCCTGGCTCATTATTGGCATTGGACACGGCATGAGAAGACACTATGGACGGAGACCTACGAGAAGCTTGATCGATGCTGACATTTGACACCTAGTATACGCCGTGCTTGGCTCTGCCTACAATGCAGATGCCGATTCCGAAAACATCACCGGCTACTCCCAACGACGCGGTCGGGTCACGTTCGAATCAAGGGGACACTCCCACCATCCGATTCCCCCAGAAAGTAGACACCACCTTCCTGCAAGCATCTGCCAGGTCGACAGGGAATGTGCCTTGACTTTCGGCTCCAAACCTCCTCTTGCCGTCGCCCCCAAAGGTCCCAACCAGTCACAACTTGCAATTGCTGCTGTGGAGTTCCGCGCGAATCAACTCCCTGTCTTCTCCAATTCTGCTTCTCCTCCTCGGCCTGCCTCGGCCGAACCTCGACGTCCACTGGTCACAACCGAGTCTCATACGGATACGTGCATTAGGGGTCGTTTACTCTCACATTGTGAAAAGAGCACATTAACCCATTTGAGCTGCTGATCCTGGAGGGAGCTAAACAAAGCATCAGAAGTCTAGTCTCCGACAAATCCTATAAACTCTCTCCTCATAGCAAGGTATGAATAACTGTCTATTTCCATCGTCTATATCGCGGCAACATGGGCAACCTGGTTAGGGACAAGGCCCGCAGGTGGAGCTCCGAAGAGAGTGGTTCTCGCATGTCTGCATAGAGCACCTCGATTGAAGCCACAGGGTCATGGGAACCACTAGAGCCGTGATGTCACGACCATAACCTGCCGTTGAGCCTCAATATTTACTGGCAGCAACGCATTCTACACGAATACGTGCATTAGGGGCAGGAAACTTGATTGTGAACGAAACTCATGGTGTTGTGTGAACTACTGAATCTAGAGAATAGAGGAAAGTGATGCTCAGGAGCTCTCAATAATCTCTTGTACTTATTGACTACCCACCCCTTGCGAGGAGCTGATCTGAAAAGGCACACCACATCCTCCATAGTGCTTTCCTGGCATAACAAAAAGCTCGGGATTCCCATCATCGCGATCATAGTAAGCGCCACCGGCATCAGGAAGCATCAGAGCGAAAAGGGCAACTTGAGTAATAGAGCAGTGAGCATGACATAGGTAAGTACGGCCGAGCCTCGGTCTCAACTAGCAGCAGCGGATTCTTACACGAATACGTGCGTTAGGGATAGTCAACTCCTAAAGTGTGAAAGAAATTCATTGTGTTGTGTGAACTACTGGGACTATAAGGAACAGAGCAAAGTGGATTAAGTGATGTTCTAGAGCATTCAAATCTTCTTGTTATATTATTTAACTACCCTCCCCTTGCGAGTTCTAATCTAACATGATGCCAACTTCTGGCCTACCTTAGTGTTCATCCTGCATCACAAATAGCTCTGGGTCGCCATCGTCAACCTCATTCTGAGCGGCGCCAACTACAGATAGGCCATAGAGGTAGCTAGTGTGATAGAGCAGTAAGCTCGACATGAATCCCGCTGAGCCCCGAGTTTCACTGGCAGCAACGGATTCTCACACGAATATGTGCATCATGGGCAAGAAACTTCCAGACTATGAAAGAGACTCATTGTGTTGTGTGAATCACTGGGTCTAGAGGAATAGAGAGAGGAAAGCTATGTTTAGGAACTCTCGAGTATCTATTGTGCTTGTTCATTACCCTCCCCAAAAGGGGAGGGTTTCTAATCTAAAAAGACACGCCACGCCCTCCTAATGCTCTCCAGGCATAACAAAAAGCTCTGCATCTCCGTCGTCGAGGTCATAGCCAGCACCACCGGCATCAGGAAGCATCAGGGCGACGGGAGCCACAGGGTTGGGCACGAAGCCCGCAGGCGGAACTCCAAGGAGAGCAGCAGGAGGCGCGGCCGGGGGCGGGGCGGGGGCGGCAGCGAGCACAGCGGCCGGAGCAGCGGCGTGAAGGGCGGCCGGAGCGGGAGCACCCGCGCGGGTGCGGGTGCGGGTGAGGCACATGGGGTGAGGGGCATGATTACCCGCGCTGCCCACATAACAAGGGCAGTACGCCCCAACGTCGTTGACCAGCCAGGGGGCATTGCGCATGACCCAGTTGATAGCCGACTCGTCCTGCAAGCGAGGTGACCACTTGCAGTGGTTGCACGTGGCGAACGTCTTCAAGACGCGCGACTGTGCATCTGGGTCCTGCAAGCGGGTATTCCACGCCACATTGCCATTCTTGCGGCACTTAGAACAGTGCATCGGGTTGGCGGCTCCAGGGAGGCTTGGCTGGGGAGCTTGAGCACCCATGATGGCATTATGGATGTTGGGGGCATGGTTTCCGGCACCGACAGCATTGGGAATCTGCTGTTGATGAGGCTGAGCAGCCATGTTGGCGTTGTGGTTGGAAGCCGCCATTGCGGCACCGATAGCGGTGTACACCTGCTGCTGGGCATGAAGAGCCTGGCCGAAGGCCAAGGACTGAGGACCATGAGCAGCCATGATGGCGTTCTGCGAACTAGCAGCAGGGTTTCCGGCACCGACAGGGTTGGGCATCTGCTGGTGGGCTTGATTGTTCTGGCCGAAAGCCTGGCCGTGGACCTGAAGCGCGAGCTGGTGCTGATTCTGAGCAGTGGGGTCGTGAGCAATCCTGAGCATAAGGTGATTAGCATTATCATATGTTAGTGTTGAGAGATGGGTGCTTACGGGACCATGCCGTGGTGATGGTTGGGGACAAGCACATGGTGCTGCTGGGCCTGCTGCTGCTGGGCCTGCTGGATATCATCATCGTGAAGATTCATGTTGCTGTCATGACCAGGGCTGTCAGCAGCGGGGCCATCAGGAGCATTGATCTCGGCCTGATGCTGCTGGATCTGCTGGGCGTCATGACCATGGGCGCTCATGTTGTCGCCAGAGGCGTTGCTACCAGAAGCCTGGCTAGCGGACTGCTGCTGCTGCATGTTGCTCTCCATTGTATCTGGCTACCTTACGCAGAAGATTAGTATCGCACGGCTTTACGAAAAGAATATTCGTGGCGATCGTCCAGGGATGGAGACTCACAGGATATGGTTCTGCTTGATGAAGATGAAGCTGAAGTGTTTAGGATACTGGGGGAAGAGTTCAACCACTGATAACAGTGACGGCGTGATGGCTCGGGATGCTGATGTCGACAATCCGGCGAGTAGGGTAGATGACGATGCTGTCCGATGATGAATATCGCTGCTTGTAGCTACGACTGATGAGGATGGCGATGGAAAGAACTCGTCGAATTGTTGACTATTCGCTCGAAGATGAGGATAGAGAAGCTGAAATATTCCGCGCGGTCAGTAATCCTGCTCTTCGACAATGATACATCTCTCGGGAAATAAAACAGAAAATAGAAAATGAAGAACTCACGATGAAGAGGAATGCTGAAGCTTCTTTCGATGATAATGCGCGAAGGCGTACTTGATGTTTTGATTGAATCCTGACCAAAATCGCGGCTGAGGAAAAGAAGAGTTTTCTGGAAGGTGGGCGATGCTACGAGAAAGAGAAAGGTAAACAAAAGAAAATCCCTCGACGACTAATCACAATTGTAGACAGATCATGATTGTCGACTAAGCATGATGAGTTGTCCTGAGGAATCATGATGTCTTCAAAGCCGCAGTTGGATGGAGTGACGGGAACCATGCAGGCCGCAGTAGAAACGGCTCCCGGGAGCTGTACAAGCCGCATGAAACAGGGAGGGCGGGAGCAATCCGGAGTTTAGTAGACTGGACGAACGGTGGAAGGCACTATATCCCAAGTCTTAGAAAGACATGAAATGTTCAGACGGCTGGAGCTATCCAAAGTTGCTGTGATAGAGCTGGGACGACTGGATGGACTACAACTTACGATGAAGAAGTTGAGACGATAGAGATAACATCAATGGGACGAGTCACGAAAAGCAAACACTTCAGACGAACAGCCAAGAAGATCAAGTTGTCTGGGTTCACAGATGGATATAATACATTCCATAGAACATGATGAGTACTGTTCACTAGTTGACGAGAAGAATCTGCGTATGTGAGATGTAACGAAATTAATAGTTCAAGTTACCCAGGCTCTTTGATTTCCACTTATCGTTGGCTTTCAAACTTCTTTCCACAACTCTGGATTCGGTCGGGCGTCATTGTCACTGTCTCGGTCAAAATATGTGAAAAGATTTGATGGTCAATGTGGAGTAGAAGAATAAGGTGCTTACAACATGTGGGTGAATGCTTTGTGCATACATGCCCCATGACTCGCTTTGCTTCGGATTCATGAGCAAAGAGCCACAGTGTTTTCAAGCTTCTAGCCTATCCTCGAACTCAAGACCACAGGTTTTGTCTAAAGCTCTGAAATCCAGGAAGCAAACTACAATCCCAGCCAACCAGTCGCTGTTTTCAACTCCAAGATGGCAAAACTTCCAAGGGCTCAGGTCGCAGAGGTCAATGGCGAATAGGTTCCAGGTATCGACAGGAATGTTGAGGGAACATACAAAGATATCTCAACAACTTAGAACGACTCACTCGATTGCTTGGACGTTGGAAGCTAATTGCGGGGCAAGAACAGAATGTGTCTGGACAATCATTTCGCACATACTTCAAATTTACCTCAAGTTCATGTTGAGTTTCTAGGTCTCGTAAAAAGTGACTTCCAGTTTGTTGATGGAATATAATATGGACCGAATGTCAAAATAACATACACATCTACAAAAGCCCCTGGTTCGCACACTCTGTCTCGATATCAGACAGTGTGCGCTTGCCGACGGTGACATTGTTGTTTTGGCCATAGCTACGGACAAGCCGGTCCTCAGCCGTGTAGACAGGCCATCCGATAGCGTCCAGACCCGCAGTCGAGTCCTTCACAAAAGCGGCATACGCATCCATCATGATGTGGCTGAGCTCATACTCGAACACGGTGGAGTTACCACGGAAGTCGGCGTGTGTGCCAAAGATCATGGGAAGCTCGCTACCATGGTAAGCACCCATCCACGGGCGGGGCGAGGTGTTGTTGAACACGGCAGAGTAGTAGTAGCGGTATGTGGTCCTTCCCGCGGCCAAACGCTCACTGGGTTCCTTCAGTTAGAATCGGGCTACTTGCGGCGGAGAAGAGGAAGGCTCACTTAGTGGTCTTGGTGGCAGGACACCAGAAGAACTGGTAGGACAAGGCATCAGCGACGGCGGGATCGGGACCGTTCTCCGCATCGTAAGGGGCAAGGAAGAGGCCCTCTGCGGCGTTGAATCCGATGATTGCGGGCTGTTAGTTGTTAGCAAATCACTCTCGCTAAGAACATCTCCAGGAAGTCAACTTACAAGATCGGACAGCTCGCCAAGAGCAGCCTTCTCGGTGTAGTTGGCAAAAACAATCTTGTTGTCAACCTGGGGAGAGAAGCCAATGGTAGGCGTAACCTCGGAGTCCTTGTAAGTGGCCACAAAGTTCTCAAGCTTCTCTGCAGGAATCTTGCGCATGCATGCCAACTCAGCCTCGGCGGTTGTCGAGTTGCCGCAACCAAGCTGCTGTGCGACGAACGTGAAATTGGAGTGGGACTCGTCGTGGTTCATCAGCTGGTCCAGGTGAGCCGTGCCGGAGTCCATGATGAGGCCCCTGACGATAGGGTCCTCGGCGTACGCGAAGCTGTAGTAGTCGACGGCGATGGAACCGGCGGAGTGGCCCCAAATAGTCATGCGCTCAGGGTCACCACCAAACTGTGCGATGTTGTCGCGGATCCACTCGACAGCGAAGCGCTGGTCCATCAGTCCGAGGTTCTGCTCCTTCAGCGCGGCAGAGTTGGGGAAACCGAAGAGCTTCATGCGGTAGTTGAAGGTAACGAAGATGTGCGACTGCGAGCGCTGGATCCAGTTCTGAGGCATTTGGTAGGGAACATCGGTGCCGCCCGTCTCGAAGCCGCCACCGTAGAACCAAATGATGACCGGGAGTCCCTCTCCGGAAGCTTGCTGCTCGCCGGTAGCGGGAACGGCGCCGGCAGGGGCCCACACGCTAGCAGTGAGGCAGTCCTCGTCCATACCGGCATCGCCGATCATGAACTCAGGCACATCCACACGCTGGATGGCAGGGTGGATGGAGATGTACTGCCAGCACGAGGGCGGTAACGCCGTGGCGTTGAGGACGGTTCCATTGGCGAAAGGAGTACTTGACTGGGGAGCAACATAGGGCTGAGGGGGTTCCCAGCGCAAATCGTCGAGAGGCGGCGCGGCGTAGGGGATGCCAAGGAACTCGGCGACGTTGGAGGCATCGGGAGCGATCCGGCCCTGGACCGTGAGACCGTTTTCAAGTTGCACGCTGGGACCTGCGCTCGCGGAGGCGAGGAGGCCGGCAAAGGTAGCCACAAACTTTGCGTTGCACATCATGACGGAGGCGACTCTCTGTGACTGTAGCGACAGACTGGAGTTGACGAAAGTGGCTTGGCAACTGTTCCTTCAACAGCATCAGGAGAGACTTTAGAATTATATCACGGAAGTCCTCCGGAAGTCGGGGGGCTTCTTCGCAATTTTTCGACATCCTAGCAATCCCGACTCCTGAATGACATCCTTCAATGGACCGATGGTCCACTAACATCGCGACTCTGCACTGCCCGAACAGGAAACAAGACGTTGCACGGTTCGCCTTTCATCGGAAATTGGTGGGCAGAACCCCACACTATTCAACGTTGACATCGGCAGTTCTCCAGTTGAGAGATGGGCGTCATTGGTGAGTTGGAGGGGTTAAACGTCTCTGCTATGGGTTTGCGAGTCAACTCCCTGCCGCGCCCTCCACCTGGACCTGTCGATCAGCAATCGGATGCTGCTAAACAACTCTTTTTCCCCTGAGTGCCCGCTTGATGATCGGAGGGAACGGGGATTGGGGATAGTATTGAACCCACTGCAAACGTGGTCCGCAACTCGTCAGCAACCTGTCAGCGGAACTCGGATAGTTGATAACTTCGATAGATCCGCTGCGATTTCGGGAGCTACGCCCGTATCTCCAAGAGATCAACTAGAGATAGATTCAGTACTTCACTAAAAGCCACAAGGCACAACAAGTACTTGCTCAGAAATGGAGTAGTTGGGAAGCAACTTTGCGGGAAAAATGAGAGTGCGCATCGGCCAGGGCAGAGCCGAACAGGAGTGCAGACCATGGCTCTGCTTTGAAATGAGGTGTCGAGCACTAATCGCATTGACCCACACTTACAAGAAGTAAGAAGACACACATTGAAAAATCCAAGATTACAGAACAAGTTCGATGATAAAGTAGGTCACCGTCCTTAGCAAGTAGATTCAACTAAATATTTCGATGACCGCCTATGAGACCCATGAAAGCTATGCGATTCCGTCTCAAGCCATTCCGCCCATTGCGCAAGATGGTAGAACGGCCATAGACTTGCCCACTTGGTGTCATACAGTGGCACACAGAGCCTTCAAGCTTGTCCCATTCGACATAGATTCGGCTGGTGTCGTTCCAATCTCATCGCTTAGCACGGGTAGCCAGAGCTGCACTGGGTGGCGGTGCAGCAGGTTTGCTTTCCGTTCTTGCAAGCAGTGCACCAATACGCGCGAGCCTCCAACTGTTCACCTCTGAAGGTCAACGCAGGAGCTTCGGCTTCGGCGATTGGGGTGGCCGAGACACAAGCAGCTGCCAGAGCAGTGATGATGAATGCGGTGAACTTCATTGTGGCTGGAATTGGTTGAGAAGTTGAATGTGCAAAGGTTTGTGCTGGTCTCGTTAGTCTTACACACCAGAGGCTTAGTTTGAGACGCTTCGATACTCACAGACCGAAGTTGGACAAGATGATTAGAAGATCGATTGACTGGCTTTTTAGATACGAGATATAAAAGCAGTTGAAGCGTGGGAAAAGTGAACATTTATAGTTTTTTTTCGCTGTTTTAATTGTGCTTTATGCTTCTAGGCCTTCCGGATTATATTCCACCTGCCATGGATATCTAGACTTTCTTCCATCGATGTTAATGAAAGC